TTATTAAATACTGGCATATATTTATATATTTTTAAACTCTAATTTACTTCCAACATGGTTGCAAGTAACCACTATTAAGTTATGAGTTATTTTTAAATAGAGGATAAGTTAAAATACTAGAAAACAGTTAACTGAAAACTTAAAAAGAAATAGGTTGTATGAAAAAGGAAAACATGAAAATGGGTAAGAGTTATAACATTTTTTTGATGTGCAAGAAAAAACTGGATTAATAAAATTTTTTTAACATAAAGGGACAGATACAGTAAAAGGATGCAACTTATTGAATAAGAAACTAAGCATGAATGAGTTTTGGTTTTTCATAATAGAGATGATTGCTCATTTGAGCATTGACCATGATAGTATTTGTAGAGAAAAAGAAAGAAATGCAACCTTACAACAATGGAAGGTTGGCTCAAGCTTGGCAGATGAAGCAGGTCTAATTACAATGTGGTCTTAGACTTTGTCTTAGAGTAAGATGGTTGTTGTTCATTAATATAGGAATGCCAACATTATTGCAACATTTTTTTGTAATAAATAAATAAGTTTTGTTATCTAAAAAAAATTGTGGATTTTAAGTCAAGAATATAAATCCATAAGCCACTGCAAGCCTTAGGCTGTTACGAAATAGAGATCAGAATAAAAATTGGCTGCTTGTTCTAAGCAATCAAAAAGTTAAGATTTTTTGTCCAGATAAAAGTATAAATTTGTTTTGTCAGCAAATAGGGCCACTTTAAATAAATATATAGATAAGCACTTTAGATAGATTAGTCATGAGGATCAATATTGTAGATAAGAAACAATACTACAGGAGCAAAGAATGTGGTAACCCTTAAACATTGTGGTACCCTTAACCACTTTGGTAGAATTAAGTGCACAGAGCCAAATGTTAAAAAGAAACAAATATCCAAAATTACAAAGTGCTAAAAGATTGCAGATAAAAAGAGTACATGAATAAAAAGTTACAGAAAAGTTGAACGTAAAGCTGTTACAGAAAAGTGATCAGAGTAAAAATTGGCTGCTTGTTCTAAGCAATCAAAAAGTGAAGAATTTTTGTCAAGACAAGATTATAAAGTTGTGTAATTAACAATACAGGAGAAAAGGTAAAACACTAGGGTTGAAACCAATATCATTTCCAGTAACCCTTAAAGTTACTCTCCTTCACCTCCAGCTCCTAAAGTTAATGGAAATGAAGATGAGAGGAGGCCTTTGAGAATAACCTAATTACTGTGGCTAGAAAGAAATGATTTGATAATCCCAAAACCTTTATATACAAAAAACTAATAAAGAGAGAAGACTAATTGTAGGATAGTTTAAAAGTTCAGTGTGCTTACTATAGTTTAAGAAAATTAGAAATACTTATTTAGCACTTGTTAATAGTTTGGCAAAAATTGAAGAGAATTTTGCAGAATACTTTTTTAAATCTACGATAAAAATAATGTGTGAACCACAAGCCGTAGAAGAGTTTAATTGAGAGTTGACTTTGCATTGAACACCGAAGCGATTTAAATATATAACAATGGGTTATTCTGTTTATTTAGAATAGCAGGAGGAATATGACCATTAGATTCAATAACCAAATTAGAGGAAAACTAACTCTGCTTTATTTTTGGGAGAAGTAATAAGATCATACCCACGATCAAGGTTTTAACCAGGAAAAACATTCATAGAGCGTTTTTGCAAAATTAGGATTTTAGGTGTGGTCTTAAAAAAAAAAGAAAGGTCATTACATTCTGACATTTCAAAAGTAAATAAGTTTGACATTTTTTAGATACAAATAAATTCCAATCAAAATAAATTTTGACTGGATTATATTCATAGCAGGAATATTTTTCTATTTTATTAATGTTTTGTAATATAATTATTATTCAATTTGTTTCATTCTAAGCAATCTACTCAAGTTTTCATTTTTAAATCACTTTTCTTCTTTCTTCTTTGATCTATTTTAATTGTGTACATCACTTTTAAATACAGTTTTAAAAGGTTTAAAAGTTTAAATATTAGTATTTATCGAAATATGATATCAGTTTCATAATTAAAATACATTTTTAAATTTTGTTTGAATTTTTATCAATTAATCAATTATGATCAGGTTAGGTCACCTTGCTACTGGTAACATGTAATCCAGTTCAACCTGTTTCATAGGATCAATTCATAGAATAGCTTTATAGTAAAGACTCCTTCGCAACAGTAAAGGCAATTTACCAAGGAAAAGGAAAACTGATATAAACCCCAAAATTTAGTTTTGGGTAAGGGTAGGAAGAGCTCATTAACTATGGTTTTTAATTTTCTTAAGTCACAATAAAAATATTCAGCTCTGATCAAAAATGAAAACAATTATTTTTACTCAACTAGATTATTTATTTACTAGTCGAGAAGGAAATATCGTAATAGCAGAGCTAATCGAGACAAGTTTCCTTCGTACCAAAGTACTACTCATACGCTGAGTAGGTGGAGCCGAGATTTAAAACCTCCAATCCTGCTAGCAGCGCTTTAACCAACTGAGCTATCCCAGCTCAAAAATCTCCAAAACAAATTAACAGTATGACAGGCATTCTTTTTGTTTCTTAAAATAAAATAATTTATATTGATTGTTGTCGCCGGACTTAAGGATCCCTTTATTGTTGACAAGTTCATTTTAAAATAAGAGTAAGTACATTCTTGAATATTGACAATTTATAATTTTATTGATACTGTTATATTTAATTTAATTTAAACCTATTACATACACCCATACATTTTCTATAGAACTTAGTTCAGAAGAGTTTTCTGGCCAATCAAGTAATGGAATATTCTGTTCTGATAGATATTTTTTAATTAATTAAGTCATATGACATGGTGCTCCATTCTGCATAATTTTTTTTTTCATTTGGACCAAACCATTCTGCCAATTATGGCAACAATCTTTGTTCCAGGACTTTTTTATACTGCAACTGTTTCATTATTTCCTTGACATTATAGAGCATCCCCATTCCCCCTTCACATATCGCTAACCAGATCATAACGGAGTGTGTTTAACAATTTGAATGATGCTGTTCAATAAGTATTTTTCCCTTTCTTTTTCTTTTACGTATTGAGCCTTCTTTGTTAACATTTAAAAAGTACTCTCATTGCTAAAGCATATTTTATAATATTATATAAGGATTGTTAAGTAAATCGTTAAAGTTTGATATAAGAAAGTGAACTTATTTAGTTTAATTTTATTGATTTTCAACTATCATCCATTGAATTCCTATACTTTTTTGCCCACTCCAGCTTTTTTTGCATTATTTTTGGTGTCAGTTTAGGCTTCTAAGCTGAACATTGTAAAATATAATTAAGATTGTGTAGGTGATGTTGAATCATTCTCTTTGATATTTTGACCCCAGATTGGTAGAGCTTTTCAGTGTTTTCAATGTTGGTGGCCTGCTTATTTTCTAGAACAATTTTGACCTATTTTCTAGAACAATTTTGGCCTGTTTTCATGAATAATTTTGGTCTATTTTCTAGTAAAATCTTTGTATTCTTTCATTACGTGGTGTTAAGATTTACATCATTCCATATTTACCAACCCTCTTTGGAATCAAGTTCTCCGCATTAGTAATTTTTTGTGTATATTTTGTACAGAAACCTTTAAAATACCAAATTTTCTGGTTGAGAAAGATAAGTATTTATTGAAAGTGTCCTGATTCTGCAATTTTTTGTGGTAATAAGTTCTTTTTTTTCCCATAACTATAATAAAATATCACATTTCAGTACCAAAGTTAAGAATTTGTTAGACACTCATAACTTTAAAAATATCACATCAAATACAGTTTTTTTTTACTTTAAAATAAAGAGAAATATTCAAGAAATTTTTACTAATTTAAATAAATATTTTGAAGATAACTTCAAAAATAAACAAATTCATAAGTCTGGTAAAACTCAACAAGTTTACAGCAAAAGGATTATAATTTAAATGATATCAAACAAAATGGCTGTCAAATGTGCCAGTAATTAGAGTTAATTCTAATTACAGTAATTGACTGTATTTAGAGTTAGAGTAAAACACCTAGTATTCCCCATGTGCTCTTAGGCTACTTAGTATCTAAAATTTACCTCTCCATGCTGCTTCATCTCTAAAAAGGTTATGTGCCTTTATTTATAAATTTGTTGCAATTATCAAACTTTTGTCAGTTATGATGCAAACTTGTTTTTTTCAAACATGATTTCAGAACTTTCTAGCAATTAGTTTTTGGTCTGCATGTTTTTTAGTGACCAAGTGGCAACAGCTAATTGCATGGCAAGTACTGAATATTTTACTCTAGTGGTTTATCATATAAGTTTATGTAAAGTCATAGAAATGTCATGGAAAAGTCATGGAAAAGTCATGGAATTTCATTTTTAAATTTGAATGGCCACCCTGCAATATCTTTACATATTTATAAAAACTTTAGTATTTATATGGTGACCAACTTTGTTTTTATCATTTATTAATGACATGCTTAGATTATTAATGATACACACTATTAATATTCATTATAAACATAGATTATTAATGATACACATTATTATTATTTTTTTTAATGATACACATAAATTATGAGCGATACACACTATTATTATTTATGATACGCATACATTATTAATGATGCACAATATTATTGTTAGTGATACATAGATTATAGTTAATACACACTAATATTATTAATAATACATGTAGATAAATAATGATACGCACTATTATTATCAATGATACACATAGATTAATAATAATACACACTATTATTAATGATAATATTTGTATGTTAAAGAATTCAATTCAATCCTCCATTTCCAATAAACACTGCTAAAATACAGTCAGATAAAATCTATCTGTTTAAATTTTAAGCTGCATTTTTTTGTTATATGTTTTATTACTTATTTATTGGTACACTTATTGTCCTACTATTTGGACCTGCGTGTCCTTTACAACATGTATTCTTGTTTTAATAAGTTTTATCTTATTTAGTTATCAAATTAAATGTTTTGTCCTTTTTTTGCAGAATGAAAAAATTGTTGATTCTATTGATATAAACTATATTACAAAGGTATAATTTAGTAACATTTTAATAACAGATTTTATCTATTTTCAAATTCTTAAAATGATTATGAAAACCTTTTTAAAAAAAAAGATTTTCAATTTTGTTATTAAATTTGATATTTTTTAGTTTTTAAGAAAGAAAATAAATTAAACACATTTAAAAAAATGAATTATTTCATTTTTATAGTTTTGAAGCTTTATTTAAAAAAAATAAATCTTCAACCTTTGAATGTTGAAAAAAGGTGTTTAACTTGACTATTTATCCATCAAGTAGTATGCCTCTAAAATACTATATAAACAGAAATCTTTTTTTTAACAATTAAAATATCAATAAAATTTTAAAATTGTTTTCTTTACAAACTTTTAAAGACCTAAAATTTAATTTTACATTAACTTATTTTTTTTTCAAATTTTTTATTTACCTTCTGACACAATCTTAACAATGTCATAAGTGTGTGTTGTAAAAAAAGTTTGCACCAACAAAAACTTGTATTTTTTTAGGTTTCCAGAATACAAAAAGATGAAGAAAAGTTTAAATTTGGTATCAGTATTTTCCTTCTTTTTTTTCCCCAAATATTTTCATTTAAATTCAAGTTCAAGGGTTTTATATTCAAATAAATATGTTTAATATATATTTTTGTGTTTACATTGTATACTAAGATGAAAGAGGGTTAAGATTTTATATTAAGATATAAGAGGGATAAGATTGTATATCACTATGTAACACAATTTTATTCCTTCTAAATGTTATATTTCAATTGCTTATATATAAAATATGTGAAAAAATGACTTTATTAAGCACAAACTTTGCTTACACGACAACAGCACAAAAACTCATTTTTTGTGTGAAAATAGAACAATTTTTTTAAATTTTTATTATTATCATCAGGTAAAAACAAAAATTGCACAAGTAATAGACAAATACAGTCGGAAACCACTCAACAAGGTTCAGAAATGTTTAGATTTTCTAGATTTACAATTGTGCTGTGAATCACTCTCTTGAAGTAGCTCCCAAATGTAGTCCGCCAACATGTTTTTAATATGCTGTCCTTGGTAACAACATTTTAAGTCCAATATATCTTGATGAAAGTGCTCCTCAGAGTAAGTGCCCATGTTCTCCTTGAATTTGTTGAGATGCAAATCAAGGATATGGACTTTCAGAGACATTCTGCATCCAATTTTGGCATAATTCTTTATGAGAGTCTGTACCAACACCACATAGTTTTCAGCTTTGTGATTTCCTAGGAAGCCCTGAATAACTGCAATGAAACTGCTCCAAGCTGCTCTCTCTGTCCTTTTCAACAGCTTTGCAAAATCCTCACATTCTATGAGCTTCTTGATTTGTGATCCGACGAATTTACCAGCTCTGACCTTAGCCTTGGATTCTAAGGTCATATTGAAATGCTGCTGACTCTTTATCAAGATCAATGAAAAATTGCTTAATGAGGCCTAACTTGATGTGCAGCGGTGGCAAAAGTACTTTATGAGGTTCTATCAGCGGCTCCCACTTCACATTGCTAAGTACAGCTTTCTCCATCTTGATCTCCAACTTCATCTGCAGAATCGTAGTCCATATCTCCGGTATCTGTAAGTGAGAAGCATCTGTTTAGTTTACCTTCAAGTGTTTTCTTGCAATATTTGCATGTAAAATGTGGTGCCCAAAATTTGTCTTGGGCCTAACCAGCACGCCAAAGTATGCTTTGTAGGCCTTGCGCATTATACAACTTGCTTCCACACAATACTTTTTCTCTCTTGTCTTTATGAATTGTCCGCACACGTAGCAATGAATTAGCTGAATGTAAACAACCTTTTGATGCCATATCAAATAAATAACTTCTCTTCAACTACGAGTCATTATCCTTAAATTCTGCAATAACACAAATTAAAATCTTAGTTTGAGACACCTGAGCTTTTGCAACGTTCAAGAAAGTTCAAGAAAATTCTGAGAGTTTTTCAAAAGTTCTGGAAGTTTCTTGAATGTTCTAGAGTGTTTAGGAAAATTGTAGAAACATCTGGACAGCTCAAGCAGTTCAGGAATGTTATAGAAGCAAGCTTGGCATTGAAAGCAAGTCGAAAATTTTCTTGAAAAACGCAATTTTCCAAGTTTCATTGTCCCGGTCACAGAAGCAAATATTTCTCTGGAATAACAGCAATTTTCATTCTGTTCTAGACTGAACGGGTTAGGAAAACACACTTTCAACCCAGGAACAGAACAAAAATGAACATTTGTTACATAATGTATTAAGATATAAGAATGATAGGATTATATATTAAGATATAAAAGGGATAGGATTGTATATTAAGATATAAGAGAGATATTTTATAATGAAGCATAGGAGAACTATATATTTTGATGATTTCACAAATGCGCTGAAAAAAAGAAATGCTAAACTAAACAGATTAGCTTAGCGTTTATGAAAAAAAAAATAAATTAAAAAAACAAAAAAATCAACAATTCCTCACGAAAAAGAAAAGTTTTAAAATTAAACTTAAAAAAACTTGAAATTTACTTTTTGTTACGTTTTTAATTGCGGTTAAACTAAGTTAGTTTAAAAATTATTTTTTGAAACATTTTATTAAAGTTACTTAAAATGCTTTTACAAATTACTTCTAATGATTCTTTAGTAGTTCAACAAATTTTATTTAAATTGATGTTTATTTAAAAAGTGAAACTAAATTACTGAAATAAAAAAAATATAATATTTTTAAATACTTTTAATAGACATTTTTTTTTTAAAGTTGCAAAAAAAAAAAAAATTTTTTTTAAATATTAACGTAGTCTTTTAAAAATAGTAATTTTTAATCACTTCATTAGTAAGTCAAGTTTAAAAAACAAGTTTTTAAATAATTCTTTATAAAAATAGAAACAAAAAATAAATAAATAATAAAGCAATTAAATCATTCGATTGCAACGGAAGATAAATTAAAATATTCCGTTGCAACCAAATGATTTATTTGCTTTATTTTTTTTTGTTTAATTAAATTTATTCATAATTTAAAGTATTTAAAAAAAGTAATCTTATGATAGCTTTTTTAGAAAGACATGGAAAAATTGTTTTAATTGTTTTTTTATTACATTTAAATTTTTAAAACATTAAAACAGCTGTGGTCAAATTGTAAAGAAAAAAAATTATTAGCATGGTTAGTTACACAAGCTTACACAAAAAAATAACTGAGTTGATTTTTTGTATTAATAAACCAGGTTTTTGTGATTAATATTTTTTAAATGAATTTTTCTAAAATTCATTCTAAGGATCCATTACTAATGAATATTTTTTACAACTTAATAAAATGACAATAACAGGGTTCCCATTCCTCATTAAAATCCTTAAATATCCTTAAAAAATAAAAACCTCCTTAAAAGTCCTTAACGTTTGAAAAAGTTAAAATTTGACTGCTCTTCTTAATATCTCCTTTTTTTTTTCTTAGTAATATATTTATAATAAGTTCTCTGTTTATATTTAAAATTTATTGAAAATAATAAGATTCTGTTTTTAATGTAATTGTTTTCTCCTTAATTCTCCTTACTTTTTCTTTCAAAAAATTGTCGTTCACAACCAAATCTCCTTAAATATTAGGAAAATATCCTTAAAATCCTTACTTTTAGCCTCAGTTTTAATAGTTAACACTGAATAACATTTTTATAAAATTTTGCTATAAAAACTAAATAAATATTTTAAAAATATTTAAGGGGGTGGTATCTCACATAGGCCTTTTACATTTTATGTAAATATAGGCCTTTTACCAATTTTACTTTTTTCTACATTCTTAGGAAAATTGTTTTATAAATTAATTGCTTGATTTTAAGTGATCAACTTCAAGCGTAAATATATTAGTATTTTACATAGTAGTCTCAAAACAAAGTAGATCTTTGATATTCTATAAGAAAAAAATGTGTTATGTTTCAGTTTAATGTTTCTGCTAACAGGTCATGTCTGTTTGCCAGGAAATTCTGCGCTCCACAAAACCCTTGAACCTATGCTTATTTCCTTCTGCATCCACACACTAGGTATATTCCTGGTAGAGAGAAATAAAATGTGCAGCATGGCTTGGAAACAATAACTTAGCAATAGTTATAAAACTGAGAGTGTGCTTTTTTTGGAGTATTTGTCCAAATTGCTATTACCATTTTAAATGTTCAATGCTTCATATTTGGCTGAATGGTTTGTGGTGGCTTTCACATCATAAAGTTTGCAGCCAGCAGCTTTTGTAGTGTCATATATGCCTATTTTAATGGTGTTATCTTGCTTATTTACAGTTGCCTTTTTTTTCTAATTTTGTTAATTTTAAAAGGATTTTAACTACCAAATAACAAAGGTAATGATATCAAGCAATTCGGTAAACCTTGTATTCAATTTTATGTAAAAAAAAAAGAAAGGGGTTCAAAAATGATTAATCTGATCTATAAAGAGGTTATAAAGTGGCAGAAAATTTTGACAATTGTTTAATATACTATTTGCCATAAATACTTATATTTACCTCAATTTTAAATGTCATATAAATATTGTTTATTTAAAGCATAAATAATTAACTGAAAGATTTTATGGAGGTCTAAAGGATTTTTTGTTGTTTAAGATATGTCCTTTTCTAAAAAATCGAAATTAGAAAATCTTTAAAATGTTTCAATGTTTAAAAGTCACGAGAGAATTTTTCGGGAACCTGGTATCATATTAAACCATTTTTAACTTTAAAAAACTACTTTTTTGTATGACTCTTTAATAATACATTATAATATTGTTTTGAGTTTAGTCCTTATGTTCAATAAAATATTATTTTCAAGTTTTAAAGAACTGATGTACTAAATAAATTTATTTTAAAATATTTGATTTTTGTAATTATTATGTAGCATTTGGTGAAATATTTTCTCTTCGTAAATTAAATAATTTATACAAATAACAATAACAACATGAAATGCTTTACAATAACTTAATAATGTTGTATAAAATACAGTTTCAAAAAAACTTCAACACCAAAAAATAAGGATATAAATATGTTTTATATTTTATGTAAAAAACATGTTCATATTTTATAAACAATGTTTTTGACTTGAATAATAACATTTTAATAATAGAACAGAAATATATTTTTTGAAGCTTGTATGAATTATATACAGAATAAATCTAAAAAAACAACAACAATCTAAAAGCTAGGAATTCACTTGCAATTGTATGCTGGATCATCAATTCCATTTTGGCTTCTTCAGTTTGTATTGTTGTACCATCTGTTATTCCAAAAAGACCTTGAACTCCACATAATTAAAAGTACTTTTTCTTTGTTTCAGCCATTTTCTCAGTACATTTCATTTGAGAAAATAACAATAGTGCTGAATAAAATACTTGCAAAACTGGTAAGTATGCAACTGTAGTTTGGCTTGTTTACTTAAGAGGTGTCACCTAAAATTACATAAAACAACATTTAAACCAAATATGTTTACTGGCCATTATACTTTAAGTAAGTAAAAGCAAATTACACAATAATAGCACATAGCATAAGATTTTGACTTTATATACTTTATTTTATTTATAATAAACTTCCACATGT